ATCCTAGCACCCTGAAGAACAATCAAGTATCTCAATTTTCTATTTAAATAGTATACTGTCTCCATACAAATGATTGAAATCTATTGAAGCAGGAGCAGCACAAGATACCCCCTTTGAGAAGCAGACTGGAGAGTGTCCGCTGCTTTCTAGCAGGGAAGGGATCAGATACTTCTTTCACTAAACCGGTGTCTGTGGGATGCTCCAGCAGGGCAGGACCTGCTGCTTGCAATTACCCAGACAGGAGATGCACAATGTCCAGCTGGCAGGCAGCGACCCCAGGCCTGCAGCCGTGCTGGTAGGATGGGGTTTTGAGGGAGAAGGGGTCCATATTGCGTTATCTGCTGCTGTCGGTAGCAAGGTTTTGGAGTAAGGAATGGGGTATTGAAAGAGATTGTCTGTCTTTGGCACAGGGATGAGAACTATGCTTTATTAAGGAATGGTAGTACAGTACAAAAATATGATTGTATAAAATCTGTGAAAAATATGGCACCATTTAAAATAGCCTTTTCTCCTTTCATATGTTCCTTTCTTTTTAAAAAATATATATTGTAAATACTTCTAATCTTTTTTCCACTAGCATTAGGAAACCAAGCAAGATCTTAAAATTACAGTTGAGATAAAGGACAACCAATAGCATAATTTGAATTGTCTTGGATTTGCCTTAAAATTAAAGATCTTCAGAAGAGGCAGAAGAAAAAAAAAAACCTTCAGAAAAGTCGGGGGATGTTTGGTGCTTTTAGGAACAAAGTCCCCCAGCCCTGACCGGCAAAGGCTTCTAGGACAGGAGGAACGAGGGCACTACCAGACCCATGAAGCGATTGACCCTGCCTGCGTGTTTAAAGGCAAGCTGGTGCTTTGCCAGGGTCAAGGCTGAGCCTTGCAGTCTGTAGCGCACCACATGCTTACTGGTCTGTCCTGGACCCTCTTCGACACCTCTCTCAGATTTCCATGGTACTGGGATCTCAGATGGAAAGCTGCTTTAATCAGGAATTAAAGTGGGGGAAAACTCATCTACTTGACCAAAAAATAGTAAGTTTATCCTACTTTTTTTTTTTCCTTTCCACAGTTATATTTATATATAAGGAAAAATAATTCCTGCTCATGAAGTGATACATTTCCAGCAACATTTGGAAATAACATTGTTTGGGATAAAACTCTGTTTTTCCAAAGAGTCCAAGTGAATTAGGACCTTATTTTCTTTCTTTACTGACAGACAGGCTGCTGTCTATTTTATTCAGAGGTTTTGCTTCTGAGTGTCATTCTAAACAAGAGCTAACAATTACCAAGTTAAATTCCGTCAATATGCCTGGAAGCTACCCTGCAATATCAAGTCCTGTACGTTCTTACTAATAAATACACTTTCTGGTACATTAAAGCAGCCTGCTTTGAAGATGAGATAGGTTATCAAAGCAAGTTCTGTTGCAACACAGAGACTAAACACAGCCTAGTACAGATAGAGGAAAAATGTTTGATTTTGAAAACTGCACAGACTTGCCAGGAGCTCCTAGGACAGTCTAAGGTCTTGTCTATGTGGTGAAACTGTCTGGCAGGACGTCTGTGGGACAGCTATCTCAGCACCGTCAGACCTTTGCCAAGACCCCAGCGTATTCCATGTTGGGATGTGAGTGCTGCTCGTTGTCACCGTGCAGGCAGCCCTGGGGCTGGAAAATGGCCTGAATGGAAACTGGCTGCTTAATGAAGAGAAAATAACGCTGCTTATGGTGAGCATCAACCGTGCCTAGTGCTTGGCAGAGTCGAACTGGATGCAAAGGCAGGCTGGTAAGCGTGTAATTCTTATTTCAGTCCCTAAACTCCCATGGGCTCCACTCGCAGCTGAAGTGCTTCTGTATGAGCAGGAAACACAAGCATCTTTCTGATTATTTCTAGTCCCTAATTTGCCTTCCTCTGGCCTTATTCAGTGCCAAGAAGTGACACTGGAGCTCTAGTGAAGCAGTAATTGCGAGCTTATCTGCTTCTCCAAGCAGTAGGGCTAGGATGAAGATGGGATTCCTCTTTGGTCTCGAGACCCTTCTCTAAGCTGGAGCAGAACAAAGTGAGGTGGGAACATATTCCTTCTCCTTGCTCTGGTCTTGCCCTTGGGATGTAGGATCAAAACTCACTTGGGTGGGAGGATGGTGCACGGGATTTGTTAACAACCTACAGTCAACTCCTTAGAGCAGCTCCAGTTAGGAAGGAAACCTGCAGATGGCTGTGCCCTGGTGAGCCACCCCAGGTAGCCTGGGGAGCCTGAGAAGTGGTGTGAACCACGACCAAATTGCCCAGCTCCTAAGTGCAAGGTCTGGGCATCAAGGCGGGATCTTTTTTGCCCAAATGACAGCATTTTGCGGTTGTTCCCCTGCGTGAGCAAGGAGCTGCGGCGCGTGGGCTGCCAAGCCTCTGCCCTGCTGCCGGGCAGGGAGGGGAATTCCCTGGATTTGCTCTTTCATCTCAGACAAAGGATGCGCCGTTTAAAGCAATTGCACAACCCACTGTTGGCACGACCGGCTGTCGTGCATGCAGGGAGATTTCAATAATTCAGCAAGCAAAACCAGAGCCAGCAGCAGATTTGGGCTCCAGCCAAGGCTCGGAAAGTTGTCCTAGCATCAAATAACGGTTCTGCTTGACAGCTTGAGATCTCTCTCCTTGGGAAAGCGCTGTCTGCTGGGGAAGGAGAAATCCTCATCCATGGGTTTTCTGCTGCTCTAATAGAGGGAAAGGGGAAGGGGCTGATGTACTGGTTCACACTGGTATCGCATGACCTTTCCCTGTCTCAGTGGCGCAAAGGGAGTCAGAAAGCTAGGTGGCCTTTGCCAAAACATTAGGAAATATTGCCGTTTACCCTAGTCCACAAAGTGTCATCATACTTTTTTTCTTTTCTCTCCTTTTTTTTCCTTGTTGTTCTTCTCTTCTCTTTCTTTCTTTCTTTCTTTTTTTTTTTTTTAATAAAGTGTATTTAGTGCTGGTGAAAGGTGCTGAATTGGCAGCCTTGGAGATGGGTGTCCCTCTGCCCAGCCTAGGAGAACCCCGAGGCTTTCTCTGGGCTTCCTCCTCTTGGCACCGACCCTGTGCTAGGACAGCCTGCAGGTCCCTGTGCTCCACTGCCCTTTCCCATAGCTGCCTCTTGCTGCACTGGTTGGGACACCCATGGCTGAGCATAGGCTCCCACCTCCCATCCCAGGCTTGGATGCTGCTGACCTGGGCCAGACTGGAACTAACAGTGCTGGAGGGCACTTTGCTGTGAAATGCTCCAGCTGCTCTGGGCAGCGCAGCTTCTGCAAGTGGGAATCTGTCTGTTCCTGGAGCAAGATCATATCTGCAGCCCAGGTTGGCTGTGGTCCAGTCCTGAGCGGGAGAGGGGGGAGAGGAGGGAGAGTCGAAGCACCCCTTGGGTGCCACTTGTCTCTCTGCCTTCATTTAGTGCCTAATCCAGACCTGACCCCAAGTGCTTCAGTGCAGACTGATTGTCTCTTCCTTCAAGCTCTCTTTTCCCCGCCTCCCTAAAGTGCAAATGAACACAACTGAATCACTCCGGGTGCTGCAGCCCAGCTCACGCCCAGGGTCCCGGAGAGGCAAGTGGGACATCAAGCTCTTGCCTTGCCCATACCAGCCCCAAGCCAGGCTTTCAAATAACTCCCTGGAGGCATTTGGTGCGTCCCCCCTCACCCCAAAATCCAACACCAATCTGTGCTACCACTTGGCCAAAGGGAAACCCTTTTGCTCACCCATTCCAACCTCCCTCCCTCCCTCCCTCCCTTCCTCCCTCCCTTCCCTATCCCCACCAAACTGTGCCAGCCTCCCCCAGGACTCTGCTGGGCAGCAGAGAGGGGCAAAGCAGCCTGCTCCATCTTCCCATCCACATTAAAGCTAAATGAAGCACCAAAATAGATACAAAAATAGAGTTTTGGGTCCATTGGCCCAGCTTTGCTATTAATACTCTTGCTATGAAATGTCTGAAAATAAGAGCCACTCTCTCTGTACACACCTTCCCCCCACCCACCCCTTACTGACAGTATTGCCATTTGCCCGATCCTATTGCAAAAAGGCATGAATATGCCTGTTCTCAATATAATTTCTGCTTTAACTCATCCAACGCTTCCATCCCCCCATTGTAAACAAACATAGCAGAAAGGGGTTTGGGAAAAAAAAAAATCCTTCATCATTTCTAGTGTTCTGAATAATATTTCTGACTTTTGGGACTCAATTCCTGACAGGTCATTTAAAAGGACAGAAGGTACCTGTGATTTCTGATGAAGGCCCTGATGTCCTTCTCAGGTGTCCCATTGGATGCTCTCTGATGGGGATGAGAGAGATAATGTATTTGCTTTCCTCTATCCAAAAGTCACAAAGTGTTTGATTGGCAAACCCGTGACTAAAAGAAGTAAATATATAAAATAAACAACAACCCGCAGCCTCTTTCTTAAGTTTCCCCGTCTATCCAGTTTTCAAAGTGCAAAACCTAGAGAAGCATAGAATGATTTTCTTGTTTTTTGTTTTTTTTTTTTTCCTTTCCCCTTTTGTTAGGGCTTTTTTCCCCCACGTGCTTGACTGGTATGGCCTTTCTATAGCAAAAGTCAGATAAAGCATAATTGCGGTCATTTCTGCACATGGAATTATGAATCATTCCAGTGACTTGAGAATCTAAGCTGTTAATAGGCTAAAAAAAGGATTTTTTTGTTTATCTTTTTTTGATTTTTTCTGTTTGCATTATAATTAAGCATGAATATATATTAATATATTACACTGCTTGGATTGCAGCTGGAGCAATCCAAACCTTCCTATGCCGTAAAACTAACCCCCACCCTGCACTCCCTGGTTTAAGAGCTTTTTCTCTCCTCCCTGTGCCAGTTATCCTCAGTTCACATGATTAAAAGTCCCTCCCAGCCCCCCTCCCCCTTTTTTTTTTTAGTAGATATTGCCACATTCTTAAATTCATGCATTGCTGCATTGCTATTGCACATATATAAAGGATTGCTCGCTCCCTCCCAGCTGCTCCCCTTCCCTCACTGGTTGTGCACGTCCTCTCTGCGGACGATCTTGTAGATGATCCAGTAGAAAATGTTGAAGATGAGGAATGCCATAGGGAAGCCGATGCGTGAGATCTTGTCGATCTTCTTGGCTCGCTGAATGAAGAGCTTTCGCATCTCCTCGGGGGAGCGGGACGGCGGGGGGACCGGGTTGGCCGTGTTGTTGTTGTTGGCGCCCTTGACGGAGATGCCATCCTTGGCTTGTAGGCAAGCTGGTCCCATCCCGTAGGCAGTGAAGTTGAACCTGCCTTCACCAGCATCGTCCTCCTGAAACAGATTCAGCATGGGACTCTACTTAAAATGAGATATAGCCAGTGCACCCTTGCTATAAGGCTCTCCACTGACAGCTTCCTGCTCTGTAAGGGAAAGACGCCTCCGTCACGCCCCGACCTCAGCACCCTTGGACAAACCCTCTGCTCTTGGGAGATCAGCCTTATAGAGGGGTGCCAGCTGCGTGATGCACAGATGCAAATCAGGGGATCCAGGCACCCCACAGAGAACAGGAATGACTTCCACCCCATCGGTGTCTTTGACATACTTGAACGGTTTGTGGTACTACATTCATTTGTCCAGTTGCATCCCCTGTTTTGCTTCTGCCTCTCCCTCCCACCCCGCTCCTATCAGCACCTTCTTTGCTTTGCCTGTGCTGTATCAGCTCGCCCAGAAGGAGTGGGCTCCATGTAACTCAGGTAGTTGAAGCCACAGCATGAGACTTCCTACAGAGTTACATGGATGTGCAGGAGCCGAGACCTGTCCAGGAAAAGACCTCTGCAGGCAGCGTGCAACCAGCCCTCAGCTCGCCTGCCCACGGGACCCCCCCTAAGCCCCACAACCCCTCCCCACAAGCCATCTTTTAGGTGAGGAGCAGAAGTGCCCTTCTGCGGGTCAACGGTAAGATATGGCTGCTTGGGCTAATTCCAATTATTGAGCAAGAAAAAGAATTTATTTTCCAGTCTAAAGACAAATGGTATTGATGTTTTTTGGTGGAGGCCTTGCAGGCTTCTCTGAACAATTTAGCCTTATTTTATTGAACATGGGGATATAATCACAGGGAAAACCAAGTTTGGCCAAAGTAATACAACCAGTAAGTTTCAGAGGCAGGATCAGAAACCCAAGTCTCTTGACTACAGGTCACTGAGGCTAATTGTTAGACCAATGGCAGTAATTATCTGTCATGGAGGCTGATCCATGCTGTGTCCCCCAGTGCTGACCTGTGTCCCCCAACACTGACCTACCAGCCCCCTCCCTCGCAACCCGATGTGCCCTGCTGCCCCTTCCTCTCTTCTTTGCAGAATGCCTTTTCTGGATGGCCCCTGTATCGAGCAGGCAGCTGTGTGGGATGGAGGCACTGTGCCAGGGGTCTGGGGTGGAGGAGCAGAAGGAAGAGCATGCTGGTATATCTGAGCAAAGCAAAACAACCCAAATAAAACCAAGCCTTCTTTGGTTTTGGTTTATGGGTTTTTTTTTGGGGGGGAGGGTGGCAAGCTGGTGAGTTGTGTAACCTACCAGCAGGCTTATTTGTCTCAGAGTCCTGGCTGAGACAAATTTGCAGGCCTTTGGATAATTCTTCCCTGCTCTGGTTATGTCCCCTTGGTGTATCTCTGGTCCCTGGCATCTGATACTTGACAGTCCTTAAATGTCTTTGCCTCCTAACAATGCCTCTGCAAGAAGGCAGTGCTCTGGTTGGGGAAAATGAGGCATGAAAAATTAGGACCCAGCTGCTTTCAGGGCTGGATGAGTCCAGGTGCTGAATACCTAGTAAGAGACACCTTGTGAGCTAGGAGTCCAGGTTCACAGAAACTCTTCTCTTGGCTCTCTTGGAGAGAATTTTTCAGTTAAAAGGCTGATTTTCTGATGACAGGAGATGCTGGGGTTCTGCTTTTCAGACGGCCAGAATCTGCACTGCGGATGAGGCTCTGGCAATGAGGGTGGATGGGGACCTGGAGGAGTACAGGCAGCAGGAGCCACTTCTGACCCTCCTGCGGCGCTGCTGGCTGAGCCCTGGGCTGCACCAGGGGCTGCACCTGGGGGGCAGTGGGGACCGGCATCCCTCGGCTCTGGCACATCAGGGAGTTTTGCAAAGGTTCACTCTCATCCCTAACTTGTCCCCCTTTCCTTAACTGCACTCCTTTGTGCAGCTAATAACGTGTGCATGGGCTCCAAAAGCCTGGCTTTCTGAGATGCTCAGAGTTTATAGACCTTCTCATCACATCTGTATTACGGGGGTTCAGGTAAAACTGTTTCTGCTTTTCTCTGGTTGTACAAATACATATGCACTGACACATGTCTGGTTTAGCCTAAATCACTTAGTTCTCTAATTTACTTGATTTTTTTTCTCTCCTCCTTGCTGAGGGGCCACCGGCTGTTTTCTGTGGCTGATTTGTTTTGTGTGAGTGCTGTACCCAAGACAGAGAAGATAATGGTGCCTTTTTCAAGGCACCGTATCAAAGGAGAAGGGCAAAGGCATCACCAGCCACACTGGGGCTGGCCTCCTTGGGCTGGGTCTCCAAATACGCTCCAAGTGGGTCTGATGATGGTGTCATATTAACCAGACTGGTCCTTACCTCCAAGGGACAGTAACTCTCCCTTGCCATCACAGTCCCTACATCTCCCCATGCCAGGATCTGTCTGCTTCAGTAAATACAGAGTAATGGGTTCAGAGAGAACTGTCTAGTTGCTCTTTCTAGTCTAGTCCTCCCCCTTTTTCCAGAGGGAAGGACGTAAGAGGTGGCTCAGAAATGGAAAGGGCCAGTTGAAACCTGGCAACAGATATTTATTGATTTGATTGCTATTTTTTAGAGAGGAAGAAAGACTCTTAATGATGAGAATAAGCTAGAACCTTGCACCTAACTGAGGAAAGTAAGAAATGGATTTGCCTGGGTTTACTTGTATTAATGCCAGACCGTGGCACATTGTCTGGCGCCTTGAGCTGTGAAGAATGGCTAGCAGGTTTTGATTTGGGCAGACCTAATAAATGTGGCCATGGGCTGGTCCTCTCCCCAGCTGCTTCCACCAGCATGGACCACTGCAATATCTCACTTATTTTTTAGCCTGGCATGTCATACCTAAACCGTGCAGGGCTACCCAGACAAGTCAGGACATCGGGACAGAGCAATTAGGTTCTTTGACAGCTGCACTAATCCATTTGCATATTTGCAGTCAGCTCCTAGTTTTCTGATGAGCCTGCAAACCTTGTTCATTTTGCTTTTGCAAGTGTTTTTGTTTATGTTTTGTTCCAATTAAATTGCTGTGAGATTGGGCAGGGATTGTAATAGCAGCCTTGTGTTCAATGGAACATCTCTGGCAAATATCTTTTAAACTCATCTGTATATTAGTGGCTTTTTTCTCCTTATTGTTTTATCAACAGAGCGATCTGCGTACAACAGCATGGATCCAGAGACAGGATGTCTGAATCTAGATGAAGAGATAAAAGCACTATGAGGCACCCATGCTGGGTCGTTTTAGCTTTGGCTCTATTAAGCAGGCTGTGTCTTCTGAACCAAAACTGCGTCAGTTGATTTTGAGATCGCAGGGTCTTGCTCTGTCCAGACAAAATCAATGGGTGCTGATGGTCTCATCTGTTACTTCTTTTCCCTTGCATTTCTCCAACACTTTTCATCCCTGGTCCTGACTGGGTTGGGGACAAGTGAACAATTATCTCCTGTTTTGCAGATAGGACAACTGAAGCAGAGAGAGGCAAATCTACAAAGAGCCAGGGATTGCTCCTTAGCCCCCACTGCCTCCTGGAATGGTGGTGGTTCTCCAAGCACACACTGTGAATGGCTGAAGGACAGGTTAGACCCTAGGAAAGACTTTTAATTCCTGGGACAGTGAAGCAATGGAATGCGGGGGGGGTGGTCTCTGTATGGGATGGATCACGGAGGGCTCTTTAAAATAGAGGGTAGACAAATACCTACGAGGAATATTTTAGGCAGACCTTGGTGGTCTGCTAGGGGCTCTCTTGAGATTCCCATCAGCAAAATTTTCTAAGTTTTTTTTTTTTTTAGCAAATTTACTGTTTTTTTAATGCTAGCTTGAGGGCAGCCTCTCAGGCCTGATGCTGAAAATTTCATACCACCTACCTGAATCTACTAGTTAATTAAGGACAATTTTTAAGTGCCTTTGGTCTTGTGATCACAGTCACCTTTCTGTTTCTTTCTAGTGCATCCTGTGAGGTGAAATCTTTGCCGTGGTACCTCAGCCTAAAAGCTAGTAGAGTCCAGGCTGCAGGAGATGCGTGTCTATGTGACGCATGCATGCTCGGGTTGGCGTCAGTCATGGCAAGTAAGCGTGGAGCGAGGCTAAGGCTGAGAATAATGCTCTTTCCTTCTGAGAGGAATTTGCAGTCAGTCTGAGAAGCAGATGCTTTTGAACACAGAGATGACAGAGACAAAAGAGGTGTCACTTACCTCCGGGCTAATGTAGGCTGTCTTGTTGGGGGATGCTGTTCTCTGATAGGCATCCCTCACACCTCCCTGCCTCCCCCCAGCCCTCACTGTGGCTTCTGAAGAGAACTCAGACCAGAACATTGCTGTGTGGAAGTTGTTCTGTTGAGAACAATCCTTCTGGCTTAGACCACTTGGCTAGCTAACAAAAAACAGCTTGCTAGACTCCTGAGATCAGCAGACTGTTAGAAGAGACACAATTCATTGAGGTAGCCCTGCTTTTTGATGTGTGACCCTCCTTAACATCTGACTACATACTGAGGACTTCCCTGTGAGCTAGTGGCTCAGTTCAGTTGACCATGTAGTGATGTTCTGCTGGGACAGATTCCAACCGTGTCCTTCACGCGTTATGTATTACCTTATGGTGCCTCCTCTTCCTTCTGAACCTGAGCAGCTCTTTGTGCTGCCGAGACACGAAGTTGACAGCAGCGTACTCTAGAAGTGCGGAGAACACAAACAGCAAGCACACGGCCATCCAGATGTCTATGGCCTTCACATAGGACACCTACAAGTCAGAGGAAGAGACTGAGATGGGGGGGGTTTCTTCACCCAAATGCCTTTTTGCTTGCCTTTTTACATGTTACTCCCAAGGTCTTTGGAAGGAGTTGATCAAGCCATGATGTGGTTGACATTTGCTCTTGGATACCAAAATCTAGCTCATTTAACATGAATATATTATCAGGCCACTGAAAATGCTCCTGGGCTCTTAAGTAGCAATAATTCCACAGTTTTTAATTTATCCAGGTCTTGATTGTGATGGTTTATATGCCAGGAAAATAGTAATCTAGCCTGATCACACCAGAAGCCCTTCATAACAGGGAAATTCAGTACTATTATAAAAGTATGATGGTCAAGGGAGTAAAAAGCTAGAATGTAGAGTGTGTATCCATGTGTGGTTGCTGCAGGGGTTTGTAAGATACGGAGCTTCTGGCTACTGGGAGCTGTGGTGAATCTTGGGGGAAGTGCTGAATCTTAGGGGAAGTTTTGCTGCTAGTCATAGCAACTCTGCTTAAATTTTTTCAGGAGGGGACTGGAATTTGTTCTGCTTACCCTTAAACTGCAATAGTGTAATGGCAGCAGGTTGTCTCTTGTGTTGAGCAGGAGGATCTGTGTGGTGACTTACTTATGCGCTATCCCCAGAAAGTGCACATTTTGCCCCTCTGTGAAGACAAGTGTGTTCCCTACCTTGGGCAGTGATGCTCGGGAACCAGAGCTCTGCGTGGTCATAGTGAGCACTGTGGTGATCCCAAGGCCAACACGAGCAGGTGCAGCATCCATATTGATCCAGAAGGAGATCCAGGACAGAATGACAATAAGGAGGCTGGGGATGTACATCTGGATCAAGTAATAGCCCATCTGCCGCTCCAGGTGGAAACGAGCTTCTATACAGGTGAACTTGCCTGAGAATGGCAGGAGATACATGGAAGATTACTGATAAGGCACGGTGAGCCTCCTGTTTTCAGCTATCATCTGGAGACTTCCCTTGCGTTGCCTAGAACCAGAGTCTTGTTAGAGGAGGAAATTAACAGCTGTTGCCCAGTTCTGAAACATGAATGTACAACACCAACATGGCAAAGAAAGCTCTTGGCAGTATGTCCTTTGTCACTTAAATTTCACCTGCTCCTTTGCATAACAAAGATAGAAGAAGATGTTGGGAGAGAAAGTACAGACCAAACACCCTTCAGCAGATGCAGATGTTACTGGGGACAAGAGGGTTCCACACACTTGTGTCTATTAGCTTCTTATTGGCTATATATGTGTATGTTTACTGGCAACATATCTATATGTATGTATATATATGTTGTCCCTAGTTGCGTAGGACAAGGCTTGTATCACCAGAGTGCCATCAGACATAGCAAGAGACTCTGGCAAACGCACAATCCTGAATTCCTCTCTAACAAACCCGGCAGCTAAGGGTAAACAGCACTGACCTGTGTTGTAGTGCTTTGTGCAGTATCTCAAGTCTTTTTCTTCTTTGAGGATAAACTGAGGCAAAGTCAGCCCGTCAGCAACTTGCACGGCTCCTTTTTCTTGCCACTCAAATATGAGATCATTCATTGTGTAGCCAACTGTTGAGAGGAGGGGACAAACACCATGTGAAACATATTAAATACTGATCTGGAAAGGGACAGATTTGTAGAAGAGAGCTATGCTTGGAGGCAGGGATTTATCCTGGCCTTCCTTGGCAATGCTGTAATGAATGGGATTTGGGTTGAGTCAGAACTGCTTATGCATATGGCAAAAGCTAGGGTAATGACCTGCGCTGGAGCTGTGATGGTGTGCAATGAATTCTCTGCAATGAATCACATTTTTTCTTGAATGTGTCTTGTTGAGCTGTTTGCTATTTTTTCAAACTTGACCTCTTTCTCTGAATGAAGTTGTTCATCGTCTTTCCCTCCTTTGGGATAAGAAACATGTACAAGGGGCAAATGTTCATCCAGAGAGAAAAAATCCCATTTGCAGCTGAAAGCACTTTCACCTTTCTCCTCCAAAGTGAAAGGCCAATGTAAACACAAGCAAGCCAGGGCTCCTCTCATGGGATCTTTTAAGGTTTGGTTTCTCTAGGAAATGTCACATGCTGAATGAATGAAAAATCCTGAGCAAGTGGTTCTAGAGCAAGCCTCCAGTGAAGGCTGAACTGGGAATGGGTTGCAGCTGGGGAGGGAGACGGCAGGGGGGAGGCAGAGGGAAAACATGTCTCCTCTCCAAAACAGAGATGTGTGCAGGACTCACAGCTTTCCAACTGCATGATGCATGTCTGTACGTCCATGGGGAAGTTCTTCAGGTCCATGGGGCAGGCCAGAGTCAGTGTGATCCTGAGAAGAGAAGACAGCACAGGGGAATGCCAAACAGTTTGTGGTACTGATGAGGGGGTGAACCCTCTCGGACACCCAATGTTGCAAACAGGCTGGTACCTTGCCCAAGACACACTGGTGTGCTGGGGGAATGACTGATCATTCACCTCTTCCCTGCTTGTGTTTTCACATGTGGTGTTGGAAAGCATTGGAAATGCTGAGCATTTCGGTCTGTGAAATAATTCCTGGCAGAGTCACCTGCTGCAGATGGCGTTTCATTGCGATGTTGGACTGAGCAAAACAGAGTTCCCACACCAAACCGTTTTGCTGCTTATGTCTCCATTTCTTGCCTCAGGTTCACAACAGTCTGGATTATCAGCAAGCCCAAACTCATCCTCTGGACCCCCTAGATACATTTCTAGAGACTGGGATTGTTTGGAAATCTTTGAACAAAACATTTATTTGTCAGAAAAAAAAAAAAAAAAAAAAAAAAAAA